ACAATTGCTGCTACAAGGTTAGGGAAATTGAATCTATTGTAATATAATTCTTAATGCAGAACAATGTTATGCAAAACAGAGCCTACAATGTGAATATTAGAATTAATCAATTGAAGATTCTTATTACTGTACATTATGAGAAGAACATTGCTTTACCGATTTCTACACGTTTTCCACTAGGATTTGTATTTATTCCCTTCTGCACAGATATTTATCCTATTTAATTTTTATAATTTTTTTGCCATCATTTGCTACTCAGTAAAGACACAATAATTATCAATTTTACCATTTTCATACCTTAGATATGTAAAAATGTACATTAGTTTTAGGTTATGGGTAGGAAATACTTATTTCTCACTGGTGTGTCCACATATTCTCTGGCATAAACAATCATTAAACAGTTCAAGTCAGTTTTACCCCATGTGTTGTCCATTATTATGCTTGGCTTGAATAGAAATTTAATTCAACACCATATCTACATGTTTTTATAAACAATGTAAACAAAAACGCATTTACCAGCAAGTTACCAGCAATTACAAATTTGGGCAAAGGTCACTTTTCTACAAGAAGAGTGATTCTTTAATTGCTAAATAAGGGGGATTTTCAGAAGAATCACAGCTACATGACTCTTTTGTAGGAAGTTCATTGAGTCATGCTCCATATTTTTTCTTTGACAGCCATTGTTATGTGTGAATTTTATTTGATGACTCTAGATAATTGATAGTTCTGATATCTAGGTGTATCAACAGCAAATCATTGTTTTAATTGACTTTTCATTGATGTTAGATTGAAGAAATCAGAATTAGCACTTATAATTTTTACTTTGCGTGTGGGATCCCATCTTCTGGTGTATCGGTGTTAAATGTTGCAGCAAAACTGAGACCCAAAAGGCAAGTGGTCTTTTCCAAAAATGATCAGTTTTTTAAGGAACAAAGGTGAAATTATTTATAGAGAGTTTATAGAGGATGTTTAGATAACTGCAAGGAATGCTCAAGGACCTTAAGTGAAGCTCCACCGACAACAAAACAACATTCAAACCAAATTTGGTGAGAACACTGGATTTCTCAAAATCGTTATATTTACAATCTATTCAACTTGCAAATAATTTCCAACTTCAGTCTTCATAGAGTTGTCATACTACATTTTTGATAGTTTTCCACTATCCACAATTTGGCACCTATTGCTAATACCACCCCTGTAAAGAAGAGGTAAAGTCCCCTGTTGGAAACCAGAACAGTTCTCAGATCAAGAACAGCTGGACCAGTGCCTTATGCAAGTCTTAGTTAAAAAGTTCCTTGTTGAAAACCAGAACAGTTCTCAGATCAAATACAGCTGGACCAGTGCCTTATGCAAGTCTTAGTTAAAAAGTTCCTTGTTGAAAACCAGAACAGTTCTCAGATCAAGTACTGCTGGACCAGTGCGTTATGCAAGTCTTAGTTAAAAAGTTCCTTGTTGAAAACAAGAACAGTTCTCAGATCAAGTACTGCTGGACCCGGACCTTATGCAAGTCTGAGTTAAAAAGTTCCCTGTAGAAAACCTGGGTGGCTATATGCAAATTAGTTTAACAAAGAATAACATTTGCATATGTCCACCCAGAGGTGGTAGTAACATAACTGCACATTTGTGATTCCTGTGGGAAGTGCAAGTCTTATGGCTTGACTGGTGTGCATATTTTTATTTAACATTGTATTAACTATCCACAGATTTCAGGTGGAAGGTGTTTCAAATCACAATTTTTTTCCCCACATAACCTTTATGGTTTTTGCTTCCCAAGCACTACCAAGCCTCAATAAGTAAACCAATAACCAACCTCATGCTGATTATTTGCATTAACAAAGCAACAACTGTCCATGAGTGGCTCACTGGCTTTGCATCTTGTCCTAAGCTGTGTTTCAAAGCAGTTGTATACAGCCAGGGCTGGCGAATCCTATAGGCAACTTAGGCAGTCGCCGAGGGCACACCGACATGGGGGGGCGCCAAATTTGAGTGACCCGGTAGGAGAGAAGTGCACAGCGCTCCATCCTACCTGTCACTAAGTGTAGCATGGCCAGTCGGTGTAGACCGTGATACAGGAGTTCTATTTCCTGTACCAGGCTGGACTGACAGGAAGTGCTCTCTCAACGAGAGGGAGAATATGAGAGACAACCAGGGGAGAGGGAGAGTGGGAAAGAGACCCCCAAGGGGTGGGGGAAGTGGGAGAGAGACCACCAGGGGAGTGGGAGAGAGGGAGAGAGACCGCCAGGGGAGTGGGAGAGAGGAAGAGAGACCACCAGGTGAGTGGGAGAGAGACCAGGAGGGGAAGAACATTGCTTTACCGATTTCTACATGTTTTCCACTAGGAAAATATATTGTAAAATAATTAAAGAGAGAGAGGACCAGGGGAGGAGAAGGGACCATGGTACAGGAGTTCTGTTTCTTCTGCCAGGCCAGAGACCACCAGGGGAGTGCGAGAGACTACTGGGGGAGAGAGACCAGGAGGGGGGAGAGAGACCACCAGGGGAAGGGGGGGAGAGAAAGACTACCAGAGGAGGGGGAAGAAGGGAAGACCACGGGGGGGAGAGAGACCACCAATTTAGAGAACAGGGTGGAGGGGAGAGAGAGACTGAGGATGGGGAGAGAGAGACCACCATTGGAGGGGGGGAGACCACTAGTAGAGGGAGAGGGGAGAGGGAGAGACCACCAGGGGAGGGAGAAGGAAGAGAGAGAGAACACCAGGGGAGGGTGGGAAGGGAGAGAGAGAGACCACCAGGAGAGGGAGAGACACCACCAGGGAAGAGGGGAGAGAGACACCACCAGGGGAGAGAGGGGAGAGAGACCACCAGAGGGAGTTGGAGGAGAAGAGAGACCACTAAGGTAAAGGGGAGAGGAGAGACCACTAAGGGACAGGGGAGGGGGGAGTTCATTAAGGAACAGGGAAGCTGGGGAGAGCACTAAGGGACAGGAGGGGAGGGAAGATTACTAAGGGACACACAGATGGGCTCTGGAGGGAGGCGCATAGAGGGACCTGGGGGTTGGAGGGGAAAGACACACAGAGGGGCCACAAACCCTCGCTTTCACACAACACACATACACAATGCATCCTTACACATACACAGAAACACAACATTGCATCCCTACAAACACACACATGCACAGAAACACTCACACACCAAAACATACAGTGAATCCTACACACACAAAGAAAAACACCATGCTTCCCTTGCAAACTCACCTTTACACACAATGCATTCCTTACACACACACAATGCATACCTCACAAACACAATGCAGCCCTTGCACACATACACACCACAATGCTTCCCTTACACACACACACACACACACACACACACAGCTTCTCTTAATGCATCTCTTACACACTCTAAATGCACCCATTACAGACACATACACTGCATTACATTACATACACAGAAATACACTTTGCATCCCTTACACATACAAACACAGATTCACACAATGCATCCCTTACACACACACACTGCATCCCTTACACAAACCGGTATCCCTATACAGTACATTCTATAAGAACACACACACATTACATCTTCTACAATAACATATAACACATCCCCTACACACCTACACTCCATTCCCTGTGAGCAAACTCATGTGTGGGCCTTGTAGGCATAAGGCCTATGGGCATGCCCTGTAGGCATACTCACAGGGGCCCAGGCCGTAATCTGTGTAAGGGGCCTCAAAAATGGGGCTGCTTCCTGGTCATTGATTTTTGTGAGCACTGCCTCCAGTGATCCTGTTTTAACACCAGACCAGTGGAGTCAGACTGCAGCCTGAGCCCATCATCCTCTTGTCCTCATCCGGTGGTAAGTAGGCAATCCAGTATATTAGTGGCACTAATCTCTAATTTAAATATATAAAAACAAGTTTAACCACTACATGCAAAAGGGGAAAAACTCTATTCGGAAGTGTGCCCTCAAAACACCATAAAACAAATGAAACAGATAGAATAGGAATTCCAATAAAATTGAGTAACACCTCCCAAGGTATAAAAAATGGGAATACAACCTTGACAAGGGGACACAAGAAGTCTGTCATGTCTATAGGGGATATAAATTGGACATAGTGTAATTCCCTCTAGACAAATAGACACAATATGTAATAAGGAGAACTCACAAGTAGGCCAAAGGTATCAGGCACATCCTCCTTAGCAATGAAGGGGAAGAGATGGAAGTGTAGATGATCGTCTGTCCCTTTGAACAAAGCAAAAAAGCCCAATAGTGCAGATATGTACATAACAAAAATCAACCATTTATTTGAATTGCACTCACAAGATAAAAAATATTTGATGGGGATATCCCAATGCCAGAGTCCATAAATGGGAGCAGTGCATAGAATAAATACAAACTAAATGAAATAAAAACAAGGAAGAATAGTCTCCAGTATAATCCAAAGCATTTCATCATGTGGACTTCTTCAGTCCTAATATCTAGTTTAAATATGTTTCTGTCATGCTGTTCATCTGATGCTCATTTTCGTAGGATGCATCTCACGCTGGAACACATGATATTTCTGGGTATATGACGTAATGTCTGGTTCCTATTCTTCATTTCCTATGAGCAACATGCGTTTCACACTGGAACGAACGTATTGGACATTCTTCCCCAGTCTCTTCTTTGTCAGAGGGTAGTTCATCATAAACATAATTTTCATCTACCAGGTAAGAAGATAGGGAGTTGTCTGAAGAGTAGTGGGTAGTCATTGTAGCTGCCTTAAGTTCAGGACATTCGTTTAGGACTTCATCTTCTGAATACCTGTCTTCTGAGGGCGGAGCACCACAGTCCATCTCCACTGATCCATCAACTGAATCATGAGATTTTTGGGAATCATCTGAGGGAGGACAAGAAGATGAGTCCGCTTGGGTTACATCATTCACTTAATTTTCATCTACAAGGTAAGATGATAGGGAGTCGTCTGAGGAGTGATGTGTAGGTACAAGTTTTTTCTGAGGAACAGAAATGCGTTTTTTATGGTCTTTGTTAACAGGAGAGTTTGTTTCTGTGGTCTGTATCTGAGGTTCAGTGGTTACAGTAGGTTTAGGAGGTTTTCTTGGACATAATGAGATTCTGTGCCCTTTTTCACCACAATAAAAGCATGCATCCCCTTTTCGTCTCTTTTGTATTTCTTCCTTTGTTAACTCTCGTTTCGTGCTTTTCCTGGAAGGTAGGACAGTCTCAGTCTTTTTCTCAAGTGTTATGCAGGAGCTTGATTGCAGCAAGTAAGAAACAGATTTGCAGAGTTCTAAGAGGCATTCAGCAATGATTGCTAGAAAGCTGGTTAACCTTGTAGTCTCCGGTTTAAGGCCTTTACATTCTGTCATGATCTTGAGCAGGTCAGATAGGAGACTTATGCCAGGGTTGCCTTCAGGTACTTTATTAGTGTTTTTTGACATATTATGCAACTTGAGGGAAAACAGACTTTAGGCAATATGCCATAAAACAGGATACTTGCAAATAATAAAGAAAGTCTATGATCTCCTGGTAGGGTTGAAACAAAGGCAGGTTGGTAACAGTGGAAGGGTGGTTACAGTGGAAGGCTGGTTACAGAGGCAGGTTGGTTACAGAGGCAGGCTGGTTACAGAAGCATAGGTCAAAATCATACGTAAGAGTGGAGCAGGTTTGAAGGTAAGTCTGGCGCAGGTTGGTATGGAGCAGGGTTGAGGGTAAGTCTGGAGCAGGTTCACAGGAGCCAGGAACTGAAGTAATTTAGGTAAATCACCAACTTCAATGTAAAGGCCCTGTTGTGAGCAGAGTGTAGCCTTATGAATCCTCTTCATTAGTCCAGGCAGGTGAGGATGATAAGGTGACTGAGGAGATTAGCGGCTAGGGAGGCCACTAGAGGCAAGAAACAAGTATTACATGAAATAATAACAGAAGAAAACGAAACATGTTCCTGGTTGTCAGGATAGGATCCTGACACTTCTACTTACTTCTTCGTAGAATGCAATTAAGTTAGTTTGGCATGACCTATGTTTCATAAAACCATGCTGATTATTGCTAATAACAAAGTTCTTCCCAAAGAATTCCTTAAGTACTCGTGGGTGAATACCGTCAGGACCCGGAGCTTTATTTACTTTAATTTTCTTTAACTGCTGTAGCACCTTGTCTCATCCAATCTCAAGTTATCTGCAAGTTTTTTGCAACAATCATTTGCATATCTCTTGCCATAGAGTCGTCATTAATAAATACTGAAGAAAAATAGTTATTTAAAATATCTGCCTCTTCCTCTTTTTCATTAACTATCAGATCCATCTCTGTTTCCAGTGTACCTACACTTTAATTTTTTGTTTTTTTAGAATTGATGTACTTGGAAAAAAAATTGGGGGTTGGTTTTGCATTTTTTGTCTATCAATTTCTCATTTTCTAGTTTAGCCACTTTAATTGCCTTTTTGCAAGCATTATTGGCTTCCTTATATCTTATATAGGTTGCCTCTGATTTGTCCGATTTAAATGCTTTAAAAGCCCTTTTCTTATTTTTAATCTCTTGTTTTACTTCTCTACTAAGCCACATTGGTTTCAATTTGTTTCTTTTATATTTATTACCCAATGGTACATACTGAGAAATGTACCTTTCTAATATTTGTTTGAAAAGTTTTCATTTATCCTCAGTGCTTTTTTTCACTAAGCAGTTTATGCCAGTCGATATGCTGTAGAGCTTCCCTAATCTTATTGAAAGTGGCTTTTTAAAAATTATACGTTTTAGTATACCCCCAAGCTTTTGCTTTTTTGAGTTTATTTAAAAAATGACCATATTGTGATCACTATTTCCCAAATGCTCCCCTACTTGAATGTTGGTCAAAAGATCAACATTGTTTGTTATAACGAGATCCAGACAAGCATCCTTTCTAGTTGGTGCTTGAACCAGTTGTGACATGAAGGTGTCATTTAACACAATCAAAAACCTGATTCCCCTTGCTGAAGTACTAGTCACTCTATTCCAATCTATGTCCGGGTAATTAAAATCTCCAATAATTAACGTGTTACCCTGATTTGCAGCTTTCCCAATTTGCTCTAACAGCGGTTCTTCCTCATTAATATTTACATTAGGTGGCTTATAACATATCCCAACCAATAATTAATTTCCCTTTGTTTGCCCCAAGCAGATATCTACCCATAAAGATTCCACATTTTCCTCATCACACTCCACATTCCACACTCCAAGATTTGACTTTAACTCATGGTTGACGTACAAACATACCCCACCACCCTTCTTGTTTTTCCTATCCTTCCTAAATAATGTGTACCCATTTAAGTTAACTGCCCAGTCATGTGTCTCATCCTACCATGTTTCTGTTATGCCTATTATATTATATCATATTGTTTAGTGTATGCTATTGCCTCTAGTTCCCCCATTTTGTTAAACAGGCTCCTTGCATTAGTAAGCATATATTTAATATTATCAGGAGTCATTTGTATTTTTTGTGAATTTTTATCAATATTACATACCTCCTGTTCTGAGCTTTCCCCTCCCCCATCTCCACCCCCCTTATACTGAGCTAAAGCCTGCCTCCTTTCTATCCTATCTCTTATAAGTGTATTTTGAGTTATATGTGTATATATCTCAAAGTACACTTATAATGCAATCATATATATGCAATATATATGTATAATATATTTTACAATGCTTTAATTATTTTATAATATATTATACATCTATAATATATGTACAATATATTTATTTTATTTTTTATTTTTTGCAAATTTTACGTGTCTTACAGCTCAGGCAGTACCCCTGCTGGCAGCTCCATAGACTCCTATTGCGGCCATGTGATCATGGTGATTTCATGGCCCTGGAGTGCCGGAGAGATCAGAGCTGCTGCAGGGTGACTGCTGGGGTCTTGGGAAGTCCCCTCCGTCGTGATCTCTGGTCCAGGTGAGTACAGGGCTCCAATTTGCCGCAGACATACCAGGTACGTCCGAGGTCGTTAACGTTTTTTGTCATACGTACCTGGTACGTCCGCGGTCGGGTAGTGGTTAACACCAGACGCAGCTAAGGTGCTGGTCCATGCCATTGTTCTTTCTCGCCTTGACTCCTGCAATCCTCTTCTCAGTGGTCTTACATGTTCCCAGATTGCACCCCTGCAATCTATAATGAACGCGATGGCAAGGCTCATTTTCCTGTCTGCCCGCACCTCCCACGCCTCCCCCCTCTGTCAGTCCCTACATTGGTTTCCAGTTAGATATAGGGCTCAATTTAAGATTCTGGTGCTTGCTTACAAGTCCCTACATAATGCTGCTTCAACCTACCTACCTATCCTCCCTAATACACAAATATGCATACTATGCATCAAAATGTAAATAAAGCTCTTCGCTGTAGGATTTATAGTTTTTAAAATATGACCGTTTGAAGATGGCAACCACCAAAATACTCTGACCTGTCAAGGCTGCAGCAGCAAGTGATGTCATAGACAGGGCCTTTTGAACACCTGCTAATGTTTTATAAATGTATGGTTTAATGTAACTGTGCAACAACGTTGCAATTGAATGTGCTATATAAATGATAACAGTTACTCCGCCCACTCCAGTTGTAGACTCCTGGTGGAGGCAAGAACACTTCACACAATTTCCCCAGAAATTATAGCTTTTCTAGTTTAAACTGTTATCTTGTTTAAACTGTTATCTTGTTTTCATCCCCCCCCACTGGCTACATACCGCGGTCTGTTTGTATGTATGTATGTGCGTCTTGTGTTTGTATGTGTATGTATGCCTGTCTTTGTGTGTGTATCTGTCTGTATGTGATTGCCTGTGTGTATGTGTGCATGTGTGTCTGTCTGTGTCTGTGTGCCTGTATGTGTGTGCATGTCAGTCTGTGTGTGCCTGTGTGTGTGTGTGTGTGTGTGTCTGTATGTATGTGTGCCTGTTTGTATGTATGTTTTTGTATGTATGTGTGTTTGTCTGTGTGTCTGTCTGTATGTGTGTGTGCTTGTCTGTTTGTATGTATGTATGTGCGTCTTCTGTGTGTATGTCTGTCTGTCTGTATGTGTGTGTGTGTGTGTGTCTGTCTGTATGTGTACCTGTCTGTTTGTATATATGTGTCTTTGTTTGTATGTGTGTCTGTCTGTCTGTGTCTTTGTGTCTGAATGTATGTGTCTGTGTCTGTCTGTGTGCCTGTATGTGTGTGTGTGTCAGTCTGTATGTGTGTGCCTGTCTGTGTGTGTGTCGGTCTGTATGTATGTGTCTGTCTGTCTGTGTGCCTGTATGTGTGTGTGTTTGTGTCAGTCTGTATGTGTGTGCCTGCAACAAATACAAAAGAATAGTGTGTTAATAAGGCGCTTAGTACGATATACAGTAAATATAGACAGCAGCTACCACTTTAAATAGGGACTCTCCACCCTATAAATAAACATAGAACATCAAGTGAACACTCAGTGAGGAATTGACAGAAAACCACCCCTGGTGTGTAAGTGGAGCGCTCAAAATATAATACACTCACCCATATGGGTATATATACAAATGTATATGCAAACTTCAGAGATAACGTGTCTAGAACAAATATAAATACAAAAAAAGATGGTGCAAATAACGTCACAAGATAAATACAATAGTGAAATGGTCTATATGGATTCACTCACATGACTCTGAGCCTTCTAGGATAGGCTCAGATCACAACAGCGGATGTGTACTTCTGGCGACACCAAACCCAAGAACGACTCTCTACCCGTCAGTAGATCCCTTGCATGGAAGAGGAACACAGGGGAGAAAAAAGAATCCTAGAGTAGCATGTCTCAATAATGGAGAGTAAATGTATAATATTGGCTTCTCACCTGTTAAGGAGCCCTACACCTGGCTCTCAGTATATAGGTGTATGTGCCTTTAAGGAGGCTACCACCCTTCTTTAGCAGCAAAAATAGAAGATGAGTATCAGATTAAAAATTGAATTTAATATGTAAACAATATACAAATAAAAATAAACAAAATTATATAAATATAATAAAAAGTATATGTAGATAAAAAATATATATCAAGAGTAAAGATTCTCTTATCTTCCAGCCGAGACGCGTTTCGCTGTATTAAGACAGCTTTCTCAATCGGTGTTATATTAACTGCTGCTTGTGGTTTAAATATCCTGGTCTTGCTCGTGATTCGTGCAATAATAATCCAATTGTCCAATCTCTTTTCCTAGTAGTTGTGAATGTTCCTATTCTCGCGGGCTATCGGTCTACTTCCGGTTTGACGGCGGCTCACATGGTCCGTGCCGCGTCAAAAAAGGGGG